CTAGATAAGAGAGGACTGGGGAGTGATTTTTAGCACCAGAGTGTCCTCGCTGTTCGCCTGCTGGCTGGCCCTGTTTGCAGCTCTCCCAACAGCTTCTCAGAGACAAAGCCCAGATATGGCTCCCTTTAAAGACTGGTCCTGATGGCAGGATGGATAAGGCTGCACAAAATTGAGGTCTAAATTCACCTCAGCTGTTTAACAAGCTTGCTGTTAAACCTTATTACCCACTTTCACTCCGCAGAAAGTAAGAAAAAATAAGCTCCTGCATTTCACATCTCTTACCTTGTGCTATGATTTAAGACAAGTCACTTTTTGGAGGTTCCCCTTTCCATTATTGACTAAAGTAGGAGGGTGAAAGAACTGTGTACACTCATTTGCTGTTTTTAATGACTAAAGTTAGGCAAAATGGGTTCCACTCTTGAAGTGGGCTGTGTCTGCACTGGCTGTGTGGATTGCCAGCTGCTCCAGGCAGAGAGGTGCCCTCCGTGGTGTTTTGTACTGTAATCATGAAATCCACTTCCTAGGTGTGTTGATTGATATCCTGGGGACTTCAGATATCATGCATAGCCATGGAAAAGCTGTCTGTGAAGAGCCTAGATAATTGCAGGATTGCTTACAATAAGGCATGGAAAGGCTACTGCAGACCCAGCTATTATTATAGCACAGTTCACCCCTCCAGCCTGGAGGGAGAGAAAATATATGAAATATATCTATGCATTTGATGGCACGTTGACTGTTATACTTAGAATAACAAGGAATATACTTAGAAAAACAAGGACTTGCATTCCAGCTACTATAGTGAACCAAGCAAGCCTTTCAAAAGAGAAAAAAAAAGTCAAATCTGTGATCTATAATTACAGCTCAGTAATTCATGAGAGGAGCAGGGCTATATTTTTCTAGCAATTGTGTTAACATATTCAGTGTAGTATGGCTTAACATTTCTGCTAACCTCTTCTGTGCCCTCTTCTTTGTATCCTCTTCTTTGCACCTCTATGGGACAGAGCTACTTGGTACTGCCAAGTTCTCAAAGATTTAAAACAGTGAGTTTGAACCTGCAACTCAGAAAGCAGTACAGCTCTACGGGCAGCTCTGAACGGCTCCGTGAAAGGGGTAAGGAAAGCAAGCCCAGGCAGGCTGGAGAGCAGTCCCTTCACACAGAATTTCTAAAGGATTTTGCACCTACCTTCAATATCTACAAATGGGAGAAAGGGTGAAACCACTGAAAAAACAGACTCTGATGGCTGCAAATGGAAACTGGAAATGAGAAATGAAAGGCCAGGTTGTTATTGCTGAAGGTAAAAATTAGTGCACCTGCTTGCCAAGGATTAATGCAAACCCAATACTTCTTCCAGCCCTTCCAATGAAGTAGGATGGCTTTCTAAAGTTGTGTGTACAGTTAGCATTGCAGCACTGTCTTGCAAACCCTGAGCAGCATCCCGTGCATGGTTGCTCAGAGATGTCAGCTCAAGTCCTGGATGCCAAGTGGACATGTCAGGGCAGTATCATTTCTCAGCTAACCAAAAGACTTAATTAGCCTGGCACATGATGGCATTAGCACAGCTATATTACTTCCAGTTCCACAACCAGAGCATATGAAGCTGGATGAGAAATCTCCTTGTCACACCACATAGGCATAAATATCCCAAAAAGCTTGTTTTGTATTAATAAGATTCTACATTCTGAGATGAGCAAGTATTCAGAGCAGACCATCAAAACGACCCATAGTTCATAGAATCATAGAATTATCGAATGTTTTGGGTTGGAAGGGACCTTTAGAGGTCTCAGTTCTTTAAAGCACATCCCTCTGTAAGTGTGACCAGTGGAGGATTTATCCATCTGCTGTACTCTGGATTACTTCCACTGTTCTCTGGCTCTTTTGATGAATGTGTCCAGTTCCCTAACATATAAAATTATTCACTATTTACTGACCTAATATGTAGTTGCTAATGGGTGGCCTTACAATGGATTTGGGAAACATGAAGGCACTTGTATTTACTTCTTAAATGTATGCTTTGCTGCTGTCAGTGGAACACAGGAATGTGCTGCAGCACATTACATCAGCTAAGGGAAAGATTCCACAATGTAAATGGTGTACAAGAGCTACCACCAGCATGAGGACATAGTCAGTGCCTGAGGAGAAATGCCACGCTCTGACTAGTAGTGACACCACACCAAAAAGCCTTGTCTGGGTTAATGTTGCCAAGTATTACACTACTTTAATATGCATTACATAGTGTCTGTTACATTAATGTAAATATTACATCACATTAATTACATTGCTATTACATAAAACTGTACAATTCTAGGGCCAGCATGCAGCACACCATCTTCTTTTGAGTGTAATACAGCAAGCACCAATGAAGTGTGCTTTATAATGAAAAATACCAAATGCTTTGATATTACTTACAAAAGGAAAATCTGTTTTTATTTTCTGTCTCAGTTGTAAAAATAAAGTATTTACAGTCATACTGAGCCAGAGCCAGTCTTTGGTTAGATTTGGTTACACTCTCCTGTCCTTATTGGGACAGATATGATAAAGAACACTGAATAAAAGCTTTGAGAAATGAATTGAAATACATTTTCCACTCTCCCTGTCCCCTCCATCTGCCACTCAATAGTGGTCTTAGTGACATGGTTCCGGGGATGACCCGCTAGATACATAGACCTGGTTTTCTTCTTTGCTTTTATTCTTGGAGCTTGTCAGCACCCAAGCCCCACAGGATCAGAAAGGATGGAGGAGGGACACCAAGTGGAAGTACACACAGGTGGGCCTGGCACATCCATGCTTTCAAGTGACCTGTTGTGTTTCTGCAGTCCATTGCTTTCCTCTCATAGCGATCGTGATGGGTATGGCTGCCCAGCTGGCTTTTCAGTAAATAACTCAATCCATTTGGGTTTCTTTTTCTGTAAGATTGATCTCAAGATGAGAAAACCTCAAGTTTCTTTTTCAGTTTCTTTACAGAAGTCAATGTGTAAGAAGAAAAATACTCACCTCAGTTATGATGCAGTATAGAGCGTGCTGGAACTTACTGGGGAGGGAAGAAGAAATGGAAAGAAATTAAATACTGTTGAGAGACTAATGGGGGAAAAAAACCCTGAAAGTTAAGCAGAGGTACAGCAAGTGTTTAGTCCTGCACAAATTCTCAAATACTTGTTTCCTACTGTGCTCTGAAACTGTCAATCCTGGTCTCGACCAGGCAACCCCCACTAATGATTCCTCTATTCCTACCTCTTACACCAACGGTAGATCAAAATCAGATTCACTTTCTTTCAACATAGTTAAAATGTAAGGAATCTTTTTAAGAGGAATCCTTAATAAAGGGAGAAAACCCAAATCTCATTCTTTACCTTCTGCTGTTATTTCTGGAGGCAATCTGTGATTATTACAGTATTTTTTCTTGCGAGGTTATTGGACCACTACTAAACCAGAACTTAAAGAGGGAAGGAGTAAAGAAGACAGGATCTAAGAGAGCCTTAATTCTTAAGAGTCAGAAAACAGCTTTTGTGTGGGATCAGTTTACTGTCTAGCCACTTACAGCGGAGTAGCTTGCATCTTCCTTGGAAAACTTGCTTTTGTCAGGATTTTGCAGGACATGCGAGCCAAAAGCGTTGCTCTGTTGTTCCCGGACGGTTAAAAATATGCAGTCTCTAGGTTAGTAGCCAGGGGGACTCAGCTAAAGGGTCAAACAGAGAAAAGGTGGTTCTTCACACATAGATAGCAGACCCAAGGAACTCCTTGCCGAGGGATGTTAGGAATGTAAAAGGTCTACATGGCTTCAAGGAGGGAGGCTGGGCAGGTACTCAAAAGTGAGAGCTAATGAGAGGTACTGGGCAGCCAAATTACACATCAAGCTGACAAAATCCCCTAACCTGGCCCTCAGCTTTTACACCTCTTTGTTTCCAAACAGCTAAACTTTTTCTGAATCTCAGAAGATGACATCCATGTACTTTCAAGTTTTGTGCTAGAGAAATTCCGCCAGGAATCAAGCATTCATAGGGCTAAATGATCTGTTTTGACACAGCCATCACCCTTGCAGGATACACTTTTTTGGCTCAGAAAGCACATTTGCAGAATAGTTGTCATTCAGGAAGAAATATGAGTTTATAAAAAATAATGAAAATTTAGTCCCAGAGGCAATAAATATATCTTTGGAATAATACAGTCTTCAGAAAGATTCCCAAAACAAGGCTATCTAAGAATATGGGATCACATTCCAGCATATCAGGAAAGTGGGAAAACATTTTTATATTAGTAAGAAAAGCAATTAAAATCCTGTGTCGGATTTCAGGAGAAAAAAGAAATACAGTGTTTAAAAAAAAGTCTGAAACATTATAGTAGTCTAATTCCACATGAATGACTACAAAACCAGATTGGCTTTCTACTGATCAAACTCTGTTTCCAAGTACTTGCTGCCATAGAGAATGGAAAATAAAAAGCAACAGAGATTTGAAAAATAAAATCATGCAAGATGCAAGATTATTTCTTTTTTTTGCTTCTGGCTCATAGCTGGATGTAACGTCAATATAAATTTGTAAAAGCTTTTTGGACTAATTTTTCAGAGGTGTTTTTTTGTCTGGTTTCCCACTCTCTGACAAATACAAACATCTTGCAGCGTGTCTCACATGCTATATTTCAGATTCCCAGCTCTCTCAATCCCACATTTCTGATTCTGTAAATGCATCTGCGATGGGAGCTGACACAAATAGCTGGAACCTCTTTTCTTACTCTATAATCTAATGCACTTAGCGAGCCAATGAATATGTGTGAAAGGAGGGGCTTTCTGGCTAAGGGACTCCTTGCAGGGGAACAGCTGTTACCACGGCAAAACCTCCACTGAAGCCGGGCAAGCACACTCACATCTCTCGGTGGCTTTGTGCATCTAGGTCTGGCAAAACAATTCCCCCCCCCCTTCTTCTCTCTGCAGAAAGTGAGCAAACTAGCACAGAGAAACTTAAAGAAGACCGGCTTTTAGTTGTGAAACATTTCAGCAGATCCAGTAATGGCCTGGGTCAGTAATATCTCCTGGTTTAGTCACCTCACTCTACATGAAGAACGTTTCAGGAGGTATTTAAACAGCACTGAGGATTACTTAGCCTTCCTATGTGGGCCCAGACGGAGCCATCTATTCTTGCCCATGGCTTTGGTGTACACCCTGATCTTCGTTGTTGGGGTGGTAGGTAACTTCTTAGTTTGCCTGGTAATCCTCAAGCACCAGAACATGAAGACCCCGACCAATTACTATCTCTTCAGTCTCGCCATCTCAGACCTGCTTGTGCTGCTTTTCGGGATGCCACTGGAAGTCTACGAGATGTGGAGCAACTACCCCTTCTTGTTTGGGCCCATCGGCTGCTATTTGAAGACGGCACTCTTTGAGACAGTGTGTTTTGCCTCCATCTTCAGCGTGACCACAGTCAGCGTGGAGAGATACATTGCCATCCTCCATCCTTTCCGTGCCAAGCTGGAGAGCACTCGCAAGCGTGCCCTGAGGACCATCGTGGTACTCTGGGTCCTCTCTGTCCTCTTCGCCCTCCCCAACACAGGCACCCATGGCATCATGCTGCAGTATTTCCCCAATGGCACCCTGGTCCCCGGCTCTGCTACCTGCACCGTAGTCATGCCCATGTGGATCTACAACTGTATTGTCCAGATTACTTCTTTTCTCTTCTATGTGCTGCCTATGGGGGTAATAAGTGTGCTGTACTTTCTGATGGGGCTAAGAGTAAGTCCTACTCCGACTGTGCTCAGTGTTTCTGTAGCTCATCCTTGTGTGCTTGTGTCTGTATATGTCTTTTAAGTGATATTGCACCTTTTCCTTGCCCATCTGTTTTCCTCCTCAAAAAGCAAAAGAATTTCAAACCTCTGAAAACAGTGGATCCAACTCCTTCTTTGGTGTAATCCTGTTCTGAAATTAATATAGCTGTGTTGGGGAATAATTTACCCCAATCTTTTTTAAAAAACTTACCATCACTGCTGCTCACATTTGAATGTTACTTAAACATCCAAGTCTGTAGATTGATTCCAGCCTCTCAGAGATTTGCACCTTTGCAGTAGGGACTAGAGAGAAATGGAGCAAAAGGAGAATGCAAAAGGAATATAAAAGAGCAGGCTAGTGATGAAATCTTGTATATTCTTTGTTTTCCTTCTTCTTGTGACTGTGGAATTTCCATTGCCTTACTTTATTTTTTTCCTTCCCTGGAGATGGTGATAATATTCAATGTTAACACTCACAATGCTGTCAGAAACTGCAATTGCTGCAGCTAGCAAACTCAGCAATCATTTCTTTATATAACTATGGCATAGTTTCACCGTCAGTTAAGAATACCTTAGAGTTCATATTCATTCTCTCTTCAGAAAGTGAGACTAATTTTACCAAGTGTTCATTGTTTAAATACATGGCTAAAACAATCAGCTTCACAGTATTATAAAACTACGCAGCACAACAGTGAAATGCACTGCTAATCATAGCGAGTCGATTACTTTTTTGTATATGTTACATATATTTTGAAAAGATAAATCTTATCTGATCACACTGAATAGAACTTAAAGTTTAAAAAGCTGTGTCTAATCACATAGCAAGAGAAGGTTGCCATACGTTAGTAGAGGTGAATGAACTTACCGAATAACGCGCAAGAAATTCAACCAAATCTCTGCTGGTGTATATATCATTTTGTTGTGCTGGCTGATATTTACTGTTGTCTGAAGCTTCACAGAAGCAAGTTTTCCTTACCCAGGAAAAACCACAAGGCTTAACTGCCAGAAATCCATAGCACGTAGCAGATCTTCAAAGCAATTAATGGGTTAAATTTTCCCCAGTGGCTGTTCTGGGGTCTTTAGAGAGTTTTGAAAATTTTGCAAAGTAAGACCTGAAGGGAGGAAAAAGTGCTGAAAACAGAGCTGTTACAGAAAGAAAAAGAGAAATCCCCGAACTAATAAAAAGAACTCTTGAAGACTGCAATAACTTCTGTTTGTGGCAGCAGATATTCCTAATCCCCATCCCAGAAGAGAAGCTAGGTACCAGGCGAGGGCTGCTCCCCCAGGACTTCTGTATATTCAGAGATACGTTCAAGCTGTCTTTCCTAAAGGCTGCAGTGTTCATTGTTTGTGCCTCTGCTTTTCTATATATCCAACTCAGGCTTCCAAATTTTAAACAACATCCATCCTGGGTATATATCTGCATTGTGCTTCAAACTGCACCAGGCAAGATAATTTCATTTTTTCAACAGAAATTACAGAAGAATGGTGTATATACATAATTTTTCAAGAGAAGACACTTTTTATCTATCCACAGGGGATGAAATCTATGAAGCTTCAGCACCACTCGAGAGTCTCCTGAGTGCCATGTATTGCTCATAGACTGTAGTGGAAAAGCTCAGAGCTGGACGAAAGGTTGTACAACAGCTCAAATTCAGAAAACAGAGACATAGCCTTTCCGAGTCCAAGCTTTGTGGAAAGGGCATTTCCTCACCAAAGGTCCTCCCTCAAGCTTTGCCAGTGCTCAGGAGAGCATTAGGATGCAAAACAGAAGGAAACACATGTGACACGCCAAGCAGCTGTGAGAAGGTAGCAAACACGGGTCTGACGGTACCTGAGTTGATTTTATATTTTATTCCTTGCAAAAAGGAATATATTTGTCTTTTTCACTGGGAAATTTATTGCCAACAGAGCTGTCAGGTTGATTACCTCATGACCAATTACTCATCATCTACTTGGATAGAATTTTAAGGCATGATGGTTTAATACTACAATGCTATGGTCAATAGATAGTTCCAGGATTAGTGTAAAGAACAGGATGATTACACTGTACTCTCATTAGATTTGATTGTGTGCTGCCTCTTTCGTGGGGTCATCACCGTGCCTTTAGGACCAATTCCTAAATCAGCCAGGCTCTTCTTTAAACCCAGTTCAGCTATTGGGTACTGGTTGCGACCTATAGCCAAAAAGCCGAGGAGAAAGAGGAGAGAGAGAAAATGAGAACATTGGGAAATGGCTGCTTGTAGAAGCTAATCCCTGCGGTGCTGATAGAGGTGGGCTGGCATTGTTTGGGAAGAAGTCTGCGTTGCAGCAGGATTCAGTGCAAGGTCCCTGTGCGTTTCTTTCAAACTGATCTCTAAAAGGACACACGGATAGGTGATTATCACTGGTTGTCTAAAAGTCAGACTCCATTTAATGAGGATTTTGACAGTGAAATGAGTGGAGAGTCCAGAGACTTATTTATCCCACCTACTTCAGACATCTGTGAGGAGCTCTATGTGATCAGATGGGGCTAGATTGACCTCACCTAGGCAGGACAATTCTTCTGCTAAGAGTCCAGCACTTCTCTTAGTGTCACTTCCCCTCAGTAACACATTAGACAGACATGCAATTTTTATTTCAGCTGTCTTTGAATCAAGACAACTTCTTCTTGCCAATGTACCATTGGTTCAGGTTTTGTGATCAAAATCTATTTTGCCCCCTAAATGCCCAGTTGCTAAAATCAGAATCATCTGTGGACAGTGACTGCCTGGAAGAGTCTGTCCCCTTTCCATGGAGGTCGTCCCCCTAAATGCCCAGTTGCTAAAACCAGAATCATCTGTGGACAGTGACTGCCTTTAGCTAGTTTCTGCAGAGCCCAGCACACTCCTGGAAGAGTCTGTCCCCTTTCCATGGAGGTCGTTCAGCAAACCTTGCACCCACTAACGCGTTTTCCTTTGCAATGGGGGTGCACCCAGGCTGCAGGTCAGCAGACAGGTGGCAACAGCTTCAGCCAAATCACAGACACAGGCAGGACTGCACACTTTAGCACGAGCCATGGCGTTTTCAAATATCAATTTTTCCATCAGCTGGCAAGAAAGTTTGGTCACCACTTATGTCAGACAGGCCAAGGACTCTACAGAAAACAGTTCTGCTTTTGCTGAGTAGCCTCACTAGGTTTGCCTGGGGATAGGTGAAGCCCTGATTTCACTCTGCCTTTTGATTTCTAGTATGAAATGCTGTAGCTAATAAAGATGTGGGGAGAAAATCCAATTTTCTGCTTCTTGCTCCAGACACTTTTAATTCTCTTGCAGTGAATGGGTAACATTCATCTTCAGGCAACCCTATGTAGCCTCATGCATCCACAGTGATGTAAAAGTAACCACTACTTTGGCTGGAGTTCTCCCTCTGTCAAACCATTGGCATGAACTCAAGTTATAACCTTTGCCATGGACTCATTTCTTTTTTTTTTTCCTTCCTCTTTGTCCTAACTCATTGTTTTATTAAATTGCAACTGCTTAGTTATTCTTACTAGTTATACCTCCATCTGTTATCACTTGAGGCTAAAGAGGAGCCTTATAGCATCATCAAAATGACAGGAAGAAGGTGAAAAATAAAGATACACGTGTCTCTGGTTTATTACAGCATCAGAGCACTTTATTCTCTGAGGCTTTGGAATATGCCTGGAATAGATTACTGTTGAAACTGAAAACCACTGAAGGGAAACTAGTGATTTTAATCAATCTGAGCAGACATTTATCGCTAGATGTGTTTCAAATCAACTGAGCCTCTTCCTTAAGCAACTGTAGCTATGACTAAAAGTAACAAAGGGAATAACGTAAAACATGAGAGGCTGAATTGCACTATAATTGAACATAATTCAATTTATATGTTTTTCCCTTTTATGGTTTTTATGAATAAATAGAACATTCAAAGAATGTCTCCTTTGATCATCCTTACAGAAAAGTATTATTAATCAAAAATCAGGAAGCAAAGTCACAGTGTAAAAGGCAAAAAAAAATGGCACAAGTGGCATGTTTCCAGAACGTTTTTACAAATCCAGACTGATTTCTATCTTTTCCCTCATTCTTGATATTCTTTCCCATGTAATTATAAGGTTTGTTTCCAGTTTCTCTCAGTTGAAAAAAGCATCACTGTAAATCTGTTGGCTAATCAGAAGTTCCTACTTCAGGAAGCTGGGTCCGATTATGCACTTTCCATAGATGATTTCTTTTATAATCAAAGCAATTGGCCTGATTATCTAGCCCTGGTCTTTTCATCACCAAAGCACCAGTCCTCACACCATAAGCATAAGCATATTGGGGAAGCATTTCAGGGAGGATCACATTATTATACTTTATATCCATTTTTTAGAAGCCCAGGAAAAACTACTGGAGAAAAAACCAACACCTTGTTGTAACTGAGCAGCATGTGGCTGAATCTGTGCACCCCATGCACACCGGCTGTCTGCAAGAGGGCATGTATGGGTTTTGTTCATTAGATGGATTGAATATCAATTAGTCCAGACACTGAGAGCATGAAACAAACTCCCTTGAATTCTACAGGAATTTTTCCAGTGATTACAGCTGTGTTTCATGAGGTCTCTCTGGGTATTTTTTGGATCATTGGTTTGTGCTTAATTGTGGGGAACCCTTTTAGGAAAATAAACAAACAAATAGTATTTTGCTAAGAAGGGAGAATAATGCCTAGCAAAATAGTGTTGAAATGGAACACAAAACTGTGAACCAAATATTAACTCATTGAGAAAGGACAAGTGGGGAACTGAAATACGAATTTGCTCTAAATATGCAGTCTCAGATGTATGAAATCTGCAGATTGTTTTGAACCTAAAGCTTCAATGTTTCCCTGGACTAAAACTGAAATTTAAATGCAGGGTTTTTTTCAGCGAGTCCTGAGTTGCCCCAAATTTTGCCTTCTCAAACTACAGCTATCAAACCATCAAACAGGCTATGTCAACTCCTATCTAAGCTCTCCTTTGGTTTCCCTCCTTTTGCCAGCTGAAAGGAGACAAATCTTTGGAAGTGGAGGAAATGGCCGTGAATGTTCAGAGACCATCCAGGAAATCAGTCACCAAGATGCTGTGTAAGTAGAGAGTCCTTCTGTGTTTTATTTACCATTGGCAAGACGGTGACCAGGTCCTGAAGGGTATCAAGTAAATTCACTGGATACAAGAGGTATGAGATGCGTAGTTGTGGTCAAAAGAAAAGAAGAAAAAAAAAAGGCTTATTGTTGTTTTACCTGGACTTACAGGACATGGGAGTGAACCACCATGGCTAACTATCAAAAGACAGAGAAGGCAAATTTTCCTCCCCAGCACCAGAGGATGTTGAGCAAACCTACATGGCAGATGCTTGCATGGCACCTCTCTAATATCCCTCACTCCAAACCTGGCTCTTGCAGCTATCTAGGGAGGATCCCCCTTTTTTACGGTGCTAATATTCTCTCTTGTACATTTTTAAAGAACGATGTACATCTGTTTTGCATCGCACCATGAGCTCTGATCATGAACAGGAAGACCCCACCAGGCCACATACATCACCTACTGTTGACTTAACCATTTAGACATTACTAAGAGAAAGTAGGACCTAGGCAGACTTGCACATTGTATAGCATTCAGGAGAATTTGTGCTCCAAAGACCCTGAAAGCACCCACATCACTTCCTAATTTAGGGCTGTCTTTAAGGCAAAGATCACCTTGCTACCGAGATGGTGTTTATGCAGGAAACATAAATCACCTTCAATATTTCCTGCAACAACATTATTCTTTTTGGCAGCTTAAGTCACCTTCTGAACTCAGAAATTGTACTTTGAAGTCAGCCTGCTTTTCTGTGCCCCATGACTGCAACCACAGACGTTCATAGCACCCAAGTCTGGAATGGGTTTGCGAGAGTCCTCTCTAGAGCCAGCACAAGCCACGTTGTGCATGGAAGCAAGCTCTTCTCCTTTCATGCTGAACAATCCACCCAGACAGACTTATCATCAGGGGGTGGTTCCTATGGTCTTATCCTGCTGTGTGAGGTACAAAGAGCATAGAGAGGAAATTACCTCCAAGGCACAACGGCGTCAGTGTGTCCCAGGTACCACAGATGAATCCAGATGTCTCACTGACAATTTCTTCATTAGGCTCTGCACATGCCACTACATTACCTGGCTGTTGCCTGCTCTGTTTGAGTGTGGTTGTGTGTGCACACGTTGAGTTATCCAACGCAGACATCAGTGGAAAGTTTGTTCTTTTAGCTGGAAATATTTTTCAGTGAGCACGACAGAAAGGATGGTAAAAGTTTTGAAACGATTAATAAAATTTGTATATTTAGTCTTTCATCCAGCTTTCTGAACTATCTCTGCTCTGTCCAGGCTAGTGAACCATATCTTCCATAACTGACTTGTCTTTCTGCTCTCCTTTCTCCATGCTAGTTGTCCTCGTGATGGTTTTTGCTGTCTGCTGGGCTCCATTCCATATAGATCGACTCTTCTTCAGCTTTGTTGTGGAATGGACTGAGCCTCTGGCTAATATATTCAACTTAATTCATGTGGTGTCAGGTAAAACTTTCTTCTTCCACTTGCACAGGGGCTGGGAAAAAAATGTAGTTGTGCGTCGTTTACCTGAAATACATAGCCCTTTATTTTGTAGGTGACATGAGGCATGCATGGAAAAGCTTCTTGAGGTCTGGTAGACAGTGACGAGAATCATGCCTTAAATAAAAAAAGCATGCAAGTTTCTGCAGCTTTCAAAATCTGGGCATGTTGTCCGATACAGTTGTCTGAATATTCACAAAGAATGAAAAAAAAATAAAAATAGGATATCATACTTCATTACCAGCTGCTTTTCCTCCTTGGAAATGTTCAGAAATAAAGTCTGCTGTCATTCAGCTGCTTTTAATGAATACGCAGCAGCAGGCACCATCCTCCAGAGGGTCTCTCAGGCAAACAGGAAACCTTACCAAATGGCAAGAGGAAAGACTTACCTACTGCTCAGAACTGGGTGATCTAACCAAATGTTTATAGCCCTGCCAACCATAATATGAAGGCTTTTTCAAAGAGGAATCTTATTTTCAGTCTGCCATGGGAAAACACTGAATGTGGCCATTAGGCAGCTCAGACAAATCTAATCTCGTGCAATTGTCCTGGGGTGTTGTAAGAAATTAGCTCCCCTTGGCTGGCAGTTTTCCTCTGACAGCTTTGATGGGGGCACCAGCTGTGCAAATCCTGCTGTGGGGATGAGGACTGTGCTGGAGGCAGGTCAGTACAGCTCAAGAGAAAGCTGGTTCCTGAACAGCTGGAGACAGTGAGCTCCATTTAATACTCTCGCCCACTTTCCTTTCCCTGTGTGCTGCAGTGCCAGAGCTAGCCTTGGTGACACATCCCTCTGCCTGGATGGCAGCAGGCAGATGTGCTGTCGCTGCTTCCACCCTTGTACCCAAGCTTGGTGGAACAGTGTAGGTAATGAAGAGATCTTCCTCTTCTGAGATCGTTCCACACAAAAATGAGGTCTCTCTCTCTCTCCTTTCTCCCACCCTTGTTCTCCTAGGTGTTCTCTTCTATCTGAGCTCTGCTGTGAACCCCATCATTTACAATCTGTTGTCCCAGCGCTTCAGGATGGCTTTCCGCAGTGTCTCTCCTTGCTGCAAGCACTGGACCCCTAACCACCCCACCAAAAGGATTCCTGCCCAGCAGAGCATCTTCGTGCTTGAGGACCACAACCTCATGGACTCTGCTGAAGACACAAGTCTCCCTGGCACCCACAGAACATCTCTCAGCAGTTCTCAGCTCTCCACTGGTGTGTGACTTTCCATGTTGTGATGCAGGTGAGCAAGAAGTTAAAGAAAATGACTTCAAGAAACAAAAGAAAAGAGACCCTCCTAAAAGACTGATTTCAGCAAGAAGAGCTCACACATGTGTCTTGTTGAAAGAATGAATGAGGAGACTGTAATTAGCATGTGGTTGAGAAGCACTGCATTACCCTCAAGCTAATAGGTGTCTGGAAAGCTCAGCTTACTGGCTGCAAGCTATGCCAGCAGAGAGCTGCTTTACAAAAATGAGACACCCTCCCAACATTAGTAGCACAGGAGGTAGACCCAGATTATCCAAGTCTAATCAAATGGCTTTTTGTGCACCAGCCTAAACATCAGTTTACTTAGTTTGAAATGGGGCAACTTGTTGCACAAGCCTTGTCTACCCACTTCTAGCTTTAGGCAAGCCAGTCTCACTTCTCTCCCCTAGGGCCTTCTTGAGGTGTAGCTGTTGCAAGCCTCTCTTGGCTACATGAGCAAGTAGGCACAAACAAGAGCAGCTCTGAGCTGGGCTGATAAACATCAGACACCAGCAATAGATATTTCTGGGCCAGAAGTACCAGACAGCCAATGATTATGAAAAGCCAATTTTTGCTTTCTGAGCTAGGTAAAGATTTGGGTGGGGTGTGGTGATTTAATGCCTTGAATTGCTTTGTCAAAACCCCTACCCTTTAGTGGGTTAGTTTTAACAAGTCTCAACATTCCTACCATATCTCCTCATACTATGTCTGACAGTATCCACACAGTGCTGAAATGGAACTTGCATGCCACAAATTAATCTACATTATCTGGGAAATAGCTATTGCTGGGAACCAAGAATGTTCCTGGTGTGTGACTCCTTTGCCCAAAAATGCAGCTAGTGAGGGATATCTGCCCAGGGAATGCGGAATGTCCACAGTCTTTGCAGGCTTATCCTGTGCACCAGACAGCTTCATTTTGGCTCATCTGCCTGAACTGAGCCTGACCACATACAAATGGACTGGGGTAGGTCCCTGCTATGCCCCATGTCCTGCAGTTTGCAACAGCTTCTTAGCATTGCTTGAACTTCAGATACTTTTGTGTTGTCTCTGCCAGTGAAGCCCTGTGGTCATACTTCAGCAGGCTTCACACCTGCCCATACCAGGGGGATTGCAGAAGTCAGAGATGTACGTGAGGTTAGCAACCACCAGGAAACGAGCTGGAAACCATTCACAATGGAATTGGGACAAACCTACAGGATCAAGGAAGCTGATACAAAGGCAATAAAAAAGAGAGTCTTTAAGTGGGTTTGCATCTACTGAACTCAGTTTTTGCCACAAAACACAATATAAGGTCTTGGAATCTCTCCTGTATCCCAGTCATGCAAGCAGATCCTGAAGGCAACACACATACATGCAAGCTGATGGGTTCCTGAGCTCCACTAGCTGCAAGGTCAGGACCCTACAGAGTTTTGTAAAGGTAGGACAGGGTGAATCCGTTACATGACAGAGAATTTTATAAACCTCTGTGTCCCAAGTTTCAAAGCCTGCTTGCATTTCAGAGAAATGCCTGCCTCGCACATCATGACACAGGGCTAGGTTTAGCCACCACACGGGGCTCAGGCTTGGCACGCTCTGCCACGGAAAATCATCCGATGTGTATCATCAAGGGGCTGGGACTTACTTACGCAGTCAGAGTACACAGAGTTATCATAATGAATAAGAACATTAGTTCCTGAACGATGATACACTGTATGCATAAAGGCTTGTTCCAGTCTGGTCACTGGGGACCCGGATGACATTTCCCACCATAGGAGGAATGGGTTATACTCCTGCTACAACGAGCTCTTACCTCGTTTGCCCCAAAGTCTTCTGTTTTGCCTCTCGCTGTGGGACTCCCAGGTGAGGGGAGACCTGGGGGGCTCCTGGCAGCTGGTGAGTTGCCTTCTCCTGAAGCGCAAGGGGAATTTTAGTCCATGTTTTCTGTCAGACCCATTTTACCAGGTGCAATCTTGAGAAACGAGCCGTGGAGAAGTAATAGATATACATAAGGCCCTGGAGATAAAAAGCAATTCCTGCTCCCTGAAGGCACAGCTGAAATACTTTGCCACCCCCAAGTGGACACTAGAGTTTTATCAGTGACATTGACATTTCTAACAAGTTTTATATTACCATTTTTCCCTCCACCAGACATTAAAGTGTGTTTTCCCTCTGGATTTGCTGTGCTGGTCATGCCTTGCTGCCTGCAAGCTGCCCAGGTCCCTTTTCTCCCACCCCAAGCAGGGTGCTGAGCTCTGTGCTCTCACCGAGCGGCTGAGGAGCACCTGGGCAGAAGCTGCACTGGATGGCATCCCTCACCCTGTGCCTCACTTGTGCAGCTCCCTGACTGAGCCCAGGGCTTATCCTCCTTATCCCAGCTGTATATCCCTGAAAGCATGTCTTCTCCACTGTCCTAGACACCCAGTCAAAGGAGTGAGGAGACAGCATAGTCTGACATACTCACACATCCACCATATGATGAGGACATTCCTCTGCAAGATTTTATGGCTCTTTGAATGCATCTTATGCATTTAGGACCAGACTTTGTCTTGTGTTGGTGCACAGAGAGCCATCCATGAGTGACACCGCTCTCTTTTCCTCCCTTTGTGGGAGAATTGCAACCTTGGCTGCAAAGCTCGGGGTTATTAAATGCGCCTCTGACTTGCAGACGAGCACACAGACCCCTAGTCAAAGCTGGGATGTGAAGCTGTAGGGTGAAGATTTTCTGTAATCTTAAATAAAACAGACAAATTTTGGTTCCCAGGGAAGATAAAGGGCTTTTTGAGGAAGGGGTAGTGACAGGGGGGTGAAAAGTGTGCATGGATGGGGAAAATTTTAAAAGAGAATAGTGAAAAGCAAATGGCCAGGAACTCACCTTCTCTTCTGAGCTAACTTCTTTTTTGTCCTAAAAACAGTTTTCAGCACATTCCATTTGGCATTAGTCAAAAGAAGTGACACTCATAACCAAAAATTACTGAGCTTTTTTGGCCAAACACCAAAACAAAAGATGAAAACATACAGTCTTGCACCAAGCCAAGCCTTCTTTAAAAAACGTTATTGGGGGAGACATGTCAAAATTCTCCTAAATTCTGCTAAAAATAAAATAAATGCAGTGAAAACAACATGGGCTGGCTTGAGGTTGAGTGCTCTGAGTCAAGTCCCCCATGACAGCACAGCTCAGTGTCCCCTCGCTCCTGAGGGCAGATCTCTAGAAAGCAGTCGATGTCCACTGGAGGGTTTTTCTTCCCAAAAGATTGGTGCATGATTTATTTATCACCCTGCTCTGATATTTGCCTGGCTGAATTTTGGAAGCTGGATCCCAACATGAAAATACTGGGAAGATGGATAGAGGTGTCATGAAAGCCAATGATACTCCTTTATTTATACATTTAGCAGCTTTCATAGCCAAGTGCTGAAAAATGTGGCAACTGGCTGAGAAAAACTCTTGTTGCAAGAAAACGGAGAACAACTCACTTTCCACCAAAGTGGTCTAGTGTGACAAAAATATATTTATTTGAAATCAAGCGTGTCTTCCTAGACAGAACTGTCTATTGATTTATTTCTCTGCTTCTGTTTCCCTCTAGGACACACGCACGTGTGTGAGCAGAAAGTGTGGAGTGCAGAGGCAATGCTCCAGCACTGTGGACAAAACATGGACAGGCTGAAGGGTGTTGCAAGGAAGCACTTAAAGGAGAGGAGAATTGTTTGCATTGCCAATGGGTGATCCTCAGATCTAATGCCAGGTTCAGTACTGGAAAAAACCAACATGACAGCAAGTACGCAATTCTGTTAAGTTTATATGAAGAGGTTTTGGACACTACTGTGTTTTGAAGTGTTTAAACCATGTCTTATCAGTAAAACTAAACGTAATTTTCAGCTGCAGAGCTCTTTATATGTATCTGTGTGTAACATGAAAATAAATATACCAGAGTCTCTCTTCCTATGCCTAGTCCACCTTACAGCAATCCTTGTGCTTCTTGTTTCTCCCTCTGATTTCACGTGAGTAGCGGAAGATGGAGATTCGCTGGATGTTCAGCCAGCACCAAGTGCAGGACACTAAGGACTTACTGCAAATCCCAGTACCTGAAAAAAAATGCAGATTATTTCAGCTGGCATGAAAATACAGCACTGGTCCCAGTGCAGTTTGTTGCATCCAAGCGTTCTACATGACTGCTTCTTCAAAGGAAGTTTAAAACCTGGGCAGCACGGTTGTCATAGCCAGGAGAAGATCCCAGAGCAAAAAGTGCTGCTTCCCAGGCTGCATAACCCCCAGGTCTGCTCTCCCTCTCTCTGTTTCTACATTCATTTGCCTCATTTTCTCCGCCGTTCATTATGACACTTGCTAGGTTTTCTCCCACTGAGATTTCTTGTTCCACAGACTAGCAAATACAGAGCAAATTGCTGAGCTGTAGCATTTCCATATCAAATGGATATTAAAGTAAGGAAAAAAATATGATAATGAAACCAGAATAATAATCTGCACTTTTTCTTTCTATAATGAACTAAGGAGGAATATAAGGGGAAAGGACAAGAAATCAAATAACCAGGAACTCTTGCAAGGATTACAAGCTGGTTTTAGAATTTGGTCCAAGCTGATGAACGATGGCAAATGTCCTTCGAGTGAGTTGGAGGGTAAAGGAGTTTGAAAAGAAACTCTGCAGAGAATTGCCCAACTTGGGCCTTGCAGATTTCCTTGCCCAGGAAAATAAACACTTTTGAGGCTGTTCGGTAGATCACAAGCCATGAGGGCTCATGCACCAAAAGAGTGACCATCCTGTGCATGATTCAGGACTGTTTTCCCTGACTTTAAACAAGGAATTTTCTATGTGTAAAATAAGCATGGACCCTAATGTAGAGAACGTCGCCTGGAGAGTCAAGTGTTGCTGGTTTTCTTCCACGTTCCCTTCCATTTCACATTTTGGCTACTCAACAGCCTGCTTTGGTCATACCCCAGACCGAGAGACCTAAGCTCATTTGCCACCAAAAGTGGAAGACTTTC